GGCTGTAAAACGAGTGTTGAATGCGGAGTATTTTCCGCAAGCAGCGCGCCTGGAATGCATCCATTTTTGAGAGTTCTGCGCTCTTCAGCCACGCTGTGTGCAAGCTGTACAGAAGCTTGCCGACCACGCAGGCGTCGAAGATCTGGATCTTCCGCCGGGTCGTGATCGCAGGGTGTGACCATACCCGTGATAAGGTATCAAACTCAGCTCTGGCTGCCCCGAGCCTCCGGCTGAGTTCCGACCCCAACGTTCCGTCCGCCGAAAGGACGCAGCCGAGGTAGACGACGCTGTCCTTCTGCTTTGCCAGACCCCCGTCCGGCATCGGGAGCTCGGCGGCGCATCGGACTGGAAGTAATTCGAGCTTCTTCCAAATGTACTTGAGGCAGTAGTTCGCGCCCGCGCGCTCCACGGCGGCCATGTATGCCGCAGCCTGTTCAGCGTCGGCGGCCACGATCAACGTGTCGTCGGCGTAAACGAGGTCGCGCACGTGCTCTGTCAGCTCCCCGAGTTCGCTCTTCGCGTCGTGCAAGAGGACCGTCATCACGATGGCGAAAAGAAAAGGCGAGAGCAGGCAGCCCTGGCAGATCCCTGCGCGCTGCTCGCGGAGCCCCGATACTTGGCCGGCGTCCCGCACGGCGAAGCGCCTGTCCTTGTAGATGGCGCCGATGGCGTTGAGCATGTGCGAGGGGAGACCAAAGCGCGCCAATGCCCTAATCAAGGAGTCTGGGTGTACGCTGTCGAAAGCTTTCGCCCAGTCCAGCGCCAGTAGAACGAGCTGCCCGTCTCGCGCGGCCCAGGCTGCATCCAGGCGCCGCCTGGCGAGGAAAATGGCGTCGGCTGTGCCGTGCTTCGACTTGAAGCCGAACTGCGTGCTCTCCACACGCGGTCTTCCGCTCCCGCGGCCTTGGGTCTCTACAGAAGCACTGCGGCGTAGAGCTTGTACCCAGCTTGCAGTAGGCAGATCGGCCTGTAGTTTTCGCACAATCCGGGGTCACCCTTCTTAAAGATCGCCATGACGAGGGATTCGTGCCAGGCGTCTGGAACAGCCCCGTCTGCCCAACATTTCTGGCACAGTGCCAGTGCCCATGAACGTGCTGGTGAGTCTCTTGTGCAGATCGCTTTCCAGAGGTCCCCCGGCACGCCGTCTGGGCCCTGCGCCTTCCCCCACTTTATTTTTTTCCCGCTGCAATCACCTCCTCGACCGTGATATCGTCAGCGCTAACCGGAAGCAGGGGGCCCAGCGGCTCGGCGTTCGTGGGCGTAGTGTTGCGAGTGGCCCACTGAACTTCGCTGTAGTATTCTGCGAGTGTCTCTGCGCGAGCATCTGAGTCAACCACGTGGCCAGCCAGATTCTGGACCCTGCCCTGCTTTGGCCGGAAGCCCTTGCGAAGCTTGTGTACTTCTTGCCACGCCCCTGCTGCTAGGAGCCCGTCCAGCCAGTTGCCCCTGTCGTCCTTCACTGATTTCTTGACGTCTGCGTTGAGCGCCCGTTCGCGCACGACGTCTCCATGCTTGCGCCCAAGTGTCCGCTGCTCAATGATGTTCAAAGTTCTCGGCGAAATCCATGGTTTGTGCGGGGCAGCAGGGGGCTCCGGCAAGGCTTGCAAGGCGGCTGCGTGGAAGGTCTCTGTCATCTTCTTTTCGACCTCGTTCACGTCCATGTGCGTGGGGCTGGCGTTCTGCAGGTGGCAAGTGAATGCCTCGTTGAAGTTCTTGGCGGTTGTCGGTGCTCTGACAGCGGCCCAGTCCAGCGGGGCTTGCTGTGGACTGCGGGTCTCCTTCGGGACGCTGATGTCAAAATCAGCAAGCACCAGAAAATGGTGTGACGCGAGAGCTCTGTCACGGTCGCTGTGCACAGAGGTCAGCTGGTGCTTCCACTCTGCCGGCACGATTACAAAGTCGATCTGGCCGAAGTTGTCTGGCGTAGGTTCGTGCTTCGGCGTCTTGCCCACATCGTAGTAGGTCACCTGCCTCTCGGGCGGCTGCTCGAAGAAAGTGTTGCCAATGATGAGTTTGAGTCTGTCGCAGAGCTCTGCGAGGAGACTTCGGTTGGATGACGCATTGTACTGGGTTGTGTGCTTGCCAAACACGTACTCCCCCACGATGCTCTCCTCGCCGGGGAACCTCCTGTGCAGCCTGGCGTTAAAGTCTCCCAGAAGCAAGAGAGGGCCATGACGGGACACACTGTGCAAGAAAGCGCCAAGATCTGCATAGAATTGTTTTCGTTCGTCGGTTGGCCGGCCACTGTGCGGGGCGTACGCGCTGCATACTATTGGTTTGCCGCCTTCTACCCGCAGCTTCAGACAGGCCATCCTCGCCGATTGTTGCCGGAAACCCACAATGCTCCTGCGAAGCTCCGGCGCGATGAGAAAACCCACTCCGGCTGTGTCGCTGCTGTCTGCGTCTGCGATGCCGGAAAGGATCGTGAGGAAGCCGGAGTCTGTGACGTAATACTCAGACCCTGTCCGGTGCGTTTCCTGCAAGCAGAGAATGTCAATGCCCATCTCTTTCATATGCCATTCGAGCTCGTAGTGTTTAGCTTCTGTGAGCCCTTCCACGTTCCAGGTGGCCACTCGCAGGCGGCGGTCGCATGGGAGTAGAGGGCCGGATCTAAAGTGTAGCGCCATTTGTGCCCAGCTCGCCGTGGTAGAAGCTTCCACTGCTGTGTTGCCGGCTGCTGACGCGTCCGTGCTGGCAGCGTTGCCGTTTGCCGCCGGGACGTCCATGCAAGTACAAATTCGTGAACGATTTGGGTTCATAGTGGCAGTAGGGCCGACTGCCGGTGAAACGGGTGAAACATCGCTCATGTGCCGTGTTTGCTAATGGGGCCCGGGCCCCGTCTGGCCTCCCTTTGAGCCTCCTTTGAAGCCCTGGCCCTTCGAGCCCTTCATGCCCTGGCTTGCCCTGGACAGCATGTCCGTGTTCTTCTGGAGGAGGTCCTGCACAGCCTGGTTGTTGTGCAACTCCTCCCAGGTCTCCCAGTCGCCGTGCCACTCGTACCGCACAGCGTTGTCCTCGACTTGAACCGGCACCGCCTTCTCCCCGCCAACTGTGACCAAATATGGGGCCTCATCTGAGATATTCACGTGGTACTGGAGCTGCCACTCGTTCTTGAAGAGCCGCTTGAGGCCGAAGCAAAAGTTCCGGGCCGCACGCTCCGGAGCGGGACGGTCAGGAGTCGCCCACAAGCCTTTCCCTCCGCCTGGCTGGAGACCCGCCGCGCGGAGGAGGTCCACGGCGATGTCTCTCTCCGCAGTCCCCTGGAACTCTGCGAACAAGATGCTTTTGAATGCCCCCTTGGAGTACGTATTGCTCGGGGCTGGGCCCTTCGGCACAATCAGTTTGTCCTTCAACCAGGTGGTCGCTTCCACCATGCTGCTCAGCGCGTCCAGGTTGCCAATCACCGCCGTGATGTGCCGCTTGTCCATGTTCGTGCGCTGAGCCGCGCCCTGGGAAGGCGCGGCGCCGGTTGGCCGAGAGGCCACAAGGTCCTTGATCATGTTCTCCAGCTTCTCGATCCACACTGACTTCCGACACGTCCAGCCTGCTCTCCACGGACTGCAGGCGTTTGTTCACGACCACCATGAAATCGTTGAGGCGGGTGTCCAAAGCGCTGAACCCCAGGCGCAACTCCTCCACCGAGGCTGTGACGGGAGTCAGCTCCTGCCGGAGTAGCGACGCTATGCCGAGCATCGTGACCTCCTCCTGCGCGTTCCCGTCCTCCCGTACCTCCCCGGGCTGCGGCCGCACGTACGGCGATGGAATCATCTCCTCCTCATCCTCCTCCCCGCCATCCTCCATGCGCTGGTAGCGACTGTCTTCCAGAAGGGGCGTGGAAGGCGAGGCAGGACCAGGCCCCGTGCGCGCGACCTTCATCTTCCCCCACGGGTTGCCCGTCAGCAAGTCGCGAACCGGAGTACCAGCCCCCCGGGTGGTCCTTGGCCCATGTGACGGGGGAGGGGTTTGGGACAGCACAGCCTCCAACTCCTTCTCGAGGTTCAGCGGGGAACGGCTGCCGGACATTGCAGCGCGCTCACGAAAGCAGGAACCGGAAACACCTCGGTTTACCCGCGTTCGCAAACACGGGCGCGGGACTGCGGATGCAGATGCGGGGATGCATATTCCTCCTGGACAAACGTAAATAAGCGTTTCGCTTGAGCCAAACTTTCGAGCTAGGGATGGCGAGGTCTAATTTGGGTCCGCGCGTGGCGTCACTGTGCTGGGCCCCCCAGCAGGCCTCGAAAGTAGCGACAGTTTCACAGATCGCAGCCCCCCGCAGGCAAGACAGGAGGAGGCAGGCAGGAGGCGGGAGGAAGGAAGGTGGAGACCACAGTCCCTTATTCAAAACGAAAACCCAACCAAGGAGGATTGGGAAAAATAGTGAAAAAAGTCTGGGGACGATTTCTTGATTTGTTTTTGAGCATATTCTAGGTATTTTCGATCTGTTGCCCAAGATCCGCCTGTAGGGGAATACGCCCGACCTAAATCGAGTCGTCCCACTTCTGTGTGTCTCCTTTCCCGAAAGAGAAACGCTGCCATGAATACAGCTTCTCGCGGATTTCTTGGATCGGCGTTGGCCCCCCTGGCGGCGCCTCCGGCGCCGCCCCTGGCGCGATCCGCGCGCAACGGAGGGGGGTCTGATCCAAGAAAACCGCGCGGACCTCCGAAAGTTGATGTGTATGACATCTTCTGTTTCTCTACTTGCGTGTACTTCGCGACCACGGCACAAACATAACAATTTCCCAGCTCATGGTTGTCCAGGGTGTGGTGGGTTTGCGTCTTGGTCGGTTCCTCTTCGTTTTCCTCCCTATCCTCACTAGTCTCACATGTGGATCTACGGTGGTAAGAGAACACATGCAAAGTGTTTCTATGTTATTTCGCATCCATGGGCGTGTACCAGCAGTCATGACCGTGATGAGTTAGGGTTGTGTGATGTGTCATGTGTATTGGCTGAAGTAGGAAGACAGGGAGCCCCCCCCCCGTTCCAGAGCCCGAGCAAGGATCTACTTAGTTTTCCCATGGCGGACGTCGTTGACATGCAGGCATTGCCCACGCTGCTTCTCTCCGCGCTCAGATGCCGTTCGTAGTATTTGTTCGTTCAGCTGGTATCGCGTCTGAGTGCTTACCAGTGTACATCTGGCCCGGCCGCTGTTGCTTCCCTCTTTTGCAGCGGCCAGCGCCAGCCACGAGTTGGCGGCAATATGATTTCCGGTGCCCAGGATAAAGTATGGCAGATGGTCAGATCGTCCCCCTGCCGTCACCCGTGCCCTTGCATGTAACCGCCTCTCAAGTATCGGAAAACTCAGGGGAGGACAGCGTTTGAGGTTGGGGGATGCGATCGCAGTGGAATGGAGAGCCCTCCACCGGGAATCTGTGTCGGTTCCATGTTCGTTTGCGTGCGGGCGAGGCGAGGCAAAGCTGCGTGGGCGCGCGAGAGGAATGACGCCGCCATTGCTAGGGCGGTTCGGATGCAGTGGACCGCCCCTCCGCCCCCGGTGGGCGCGCGGTGGGCTGGGGTGTACCGCCGTGGTGTCTTTCGTTGTCCCGTTGGTGTCCCGTCGGTGTTGCGTCGGCGGTGGGCGGGCGGTGGCTGGGGGTGTCCCGCATTGGTATCGATAGTGAAGTCGATAGTGAGATCGACAGTGAGATCGCTTGAAAGGGACGGATAGTTAGATCAAACGTAAGACCGACAGTGAGGTTGATTGTGACCTTGGTGGTGGGATAGGAAGCGGGCACGATAGTGACATTACATCGCAGCGCAACATCGCCATCACGCGTCGTCACTAACGAGGGTGCGTCACCAGCATCGTCATCATCATACCCATAGCATTTGCCAGCAGTTGGTTCTTCCACCCCACCCCACCAACTTCCTTATCACCCGAAAGGTGGTCGTTACAGGTATGTGACCTTTTCAGCACGGCTGTGTTGACTTGGCGCCAGATGGTTTCCCTCCTGCCCTGCCCTGCCCCGCCCCCCCACCCCCTCCGCCTCTCCGTTGTCGTCCTCATCCCACTTCCGCTCGTTGCACCCAGCGTGACCCCGCTCGGTGCCCAGCGAGGGGCGCCCGCAGTGGCCCACTAACACCTACATATCCCCCAGCGTGCACTCCTTGAGGCCGCCCAAATACGGGGTCCCGAGCAGACGGGGTGGTCGCAGGATCGCACCGCATCGGTGATGCATCGGCGACGTCGGCGCGGATAACATCGGGCTCCACATCGAGCCGCATCGCCGATGCAGCGGCGATGCGGCGCTATCAACTGGCCGCATCTACTGCGACCCCACTCGGGCGTCCTGGCACGCAGTGATCATGGCGGCCGAGCGGCCCACAGGACACTCTGTGTCTGCGCACATCTTCCATGCGCCGTATCTTCGACGTCTCGTCGGCGAGAGGCCGCGCAGGCAATCTGCAGGGAGGCCGCGCGCGGGTCACGCGGCGGCGGATGACGCCGAGCACAGGCTCGGGGCGCGCTGCGTCTGGAGGTGCGGAGCCGACGGCGAGCACGGCAGACTCGTGCTGCGTTCGCGCGCCCGCGTCGGTGCGGCTGGCTCGGGCCTGGTCGGTTGGGCCCGGCTGGTCCGGGCGGTCAGAGATCCTACCCCGAGCGAATTAATTCAGGAGGGGACAGAACACACATGCACAATCAATCGTCGATTCAATGAGGGGAAATATGGGAAGTGGGGGGGAAAACGGAAACCCAGCAAATGTAGGAAAATATTGGGAATCTTGGGATTTGTGTGTGTTGATGTGTGTGTGTGTGTGTGTGTGTGTCCCTGGGCCCCTCAGTAATACTCGCTCGCCCCCATCCGTCGACGGGCGGAGATGGGCGCGGGCCGTCGGAACGGAAGGAAGTTTGGGGGGGATGAGCTCGCGTTGGGGAGCCAGGGCCCCTTGTAGGAGGTGGCGACGGCGAAAAGCTCCATCGCAGAGGCAGTCACCCCCCTTCCCCGAGTGTTATCTCATGTGGGGTACAGTGGGGGGCCATGCCAAGAATCACCCTGCTTGCCTCCAGGGTGCCCTTCGTTTCTCCTGTTTCGATGGCTCTGCCGTGGAGAGCGCGACGCTCCCACATCAGAAACCGATGGACGTCCTGGGGTCTCAGGGTTGGGTTTTCTTGTGGAAGGTTCCCGGCCCGTGCCGTGGAGCGATCCCTGCTCCACGGGGGGGGGCGAGTCGCGCGAGAGGGAGGGCGGAGAGCTGGCCGCGCTCCCTGCCTCGCGCGGCGCAGGGCGCGGAGCTGGCCCGGCGAGGGCGCAAAACGCAGGGGGGGGGCGGCGGCGGCCCTGACGGCCTCCCGCAGCGGAAGCGTCACGACGCGAGGTTCTGGGCGCTGTTCGGCCGCTGGGGGCCCTCAGCTGGGGGAGCGAGCAATGACAAGGACATAACAATTCGGAGGTCCGCGCGGATTTCTCGGATCGGCGCTGGGAGCGGAGGAGGGCATTGAGCTGAAGAGTGTGAGGAGAAGGGAGGAATCTCCTGCACAGCAGACAAGGGGAAAAAGGGGGGGACCTGTTTTCTTCGGGGAACCGAGGATGACGTAAACATACAAACTCGGAGGTCAGCGCGGATTTCTCGGATCGGCGCTGGACCCCCTGGGGGCGCCTCTGGCGCCGCCCCTGGCGCGCTCCGCGCGCCAGAGAGGGGGGTCCAGCGCCGATCCGAGAAATCCTCGCCGACCTCCGAGTTTTTATGTTCGTGTCATTGTTCGTTCCTCTCTAATCAGAACCCAGGGCCCCCAGAAATGAAACCGGGATGAAAAGCCTGTCTCTCGGAAGGGGCCCAGACTACTGAGGAGCGGAGCCACGCCGTAAAAAATCACGACGTCAGAGGCATGGGAAGCACAGCAGCTTCTCGTCGCGTTGACGCGGCGACGAGCCCAGTGCGGGCGTTCCAGGCTGAACGCCGCCACGGGCCTGGAGTCGGGCGATTTCGAAAGAATCAGCGGAGCTATTTTGCGCGCCTGTTAAAGGGCTTGATAATATTAAGTCGGGCGTGCCCGTCTACAGGAGGAATCTTAAAAGATAGTTAGACATAGTCAGGGGACAATGTTTCGACCATGTTTGATAATTCGTTTGAATATTTTTTGACTATTTTGCTTTTAAGATGTGTTGTCCACAATCCCCCTGTAGGGGGACAGGCCCGACCTGATGATAATCTAAAGGGCTTCGCCGGCCGCGGGCTACCCCGTGGATTGCTTGCAGGGCCACGCTTGATCCGTCGGTTGGTCTCTTTTCATGTCGGTTGGTTGGCTGGTAAGTCGGTTGATAAGTTTTTGTTGGTCTCACATGGATGGTTGGCAGTTGGTCTGGGCTGTTTGTTCGCGCGAGTATGTGGTAATTCATGCGGGATGGTGGCCTCGGAAGCGCGCTTCTGGTGTGACTTACGGGGCTTTAGGAGCGCGCGGGACCAGAGCCACAGTCTCAGGAAAACGAGGGACCGAGCTGCCACCCCCCCGAATAGCTGCCAGCGCAGATCCCGAACAGACAGTTATTGCACTGTTGATGTGTACGCTATGTGGTGCAAGCTATGTGGTGTAAGTATAAGTTGTGTGGTGCAAGCTATGTGGTGCAAGCTATGTGGTGCAACCTGCGTGGAACAAATTATGTGGTGCAAGCTCGTTGGGGCAATCTATGGGGTGCAGCTGACTACCCTGCACCGCGCCTGACCACCTCCACTGCTCGCGCAAACATCCCACCCACCCACCCGCAACTTGGTCGCAAGACTTCTTAAGACAAGACCGTGACGGTACGTACCACATGGCACTTGGCCCCGACGCCGACGACGACAGCGACAACGACGACGACGACGACGACGGCGCCGCCGACACCGACTACGACGACACCGCCGACGTCGACGTCGACGAAGACGACGCCGACGCCGACGACGACGACGACGAAGACGACGACGACGTCGCCAACGAAGACGACGACGAGGGAGGAGGGAGGACGACGACGGCGACAACGACGACAATGACGATGGAGGAGGGGAGACGGCGACGACGCGAACGACGAAGAAGAAGAAGAAAGGACGGCGACGTCGACGACGACAACGACGAGGGAGGAGGGAAGACGACGACGACAACGACGACGAAGACGACGACGACGGCGACGAAACAGGAGGGACGACGACGAGACGCCGACGACGGACGACGACGACGACGACGAGGGAGGAGGATAACGACGAGGGAGGAGTGAAGACGACGACGACGACGACGACGGCGACGAAATAGAGGGGACCACGACGAAACGCCGACGAAGACGACGAGGGAGGAAAGACGACCACGGCGACAACGACGACGGAAGCGACGACGACGCCAAGACGACGACGACGACGAGGAAAGACAGAAGACGACGACGGCGACGACGACGACGACGACGAGGGAAGAGGGAAGACGACGACGACGACGACGACGCAAAAGCGCGCGCACACGCTTTTGTTGAAAATTCCTGTTGCGAAACCTTTTATTTTTGTAGGTTTTTTGGAGACACGGTTTTGAAATCCTTCCGAAACCTATGGGTTTCGAAGGTTTTCGGCATACGCGCGCGACGACGCGCGCGTCTGCACTTCGTCCCGTTTTTTGCAGAGGATTCTCGCGACGGCACACGCGCAAGGGCGTTCGACAGATTTCGACATGCGCGCGCGAAGCCCGTTCCATAGCATGTTGTGAAAATCTTGGAAAGAAAAAAAACCTACGGTGTTCGTAAGATTTCGCAAGAGCTCGCGCGGAAGTTTTTTTTAGCAAATCAGTGTCGCGAAACCCTGTGTGTTTGTATGCTTTTTGGAAACTCGATTGCGAAATCCTTCCGGCACCGAAAGTTTTTAAAGGATTTCGGCATGCGCGCGCGACGGCGCGCGCGTGTGCACTTCGTCCTATGTTTTGCAAGGGATTCGGGAAAAAATGCTATGTTAGAACAAAAAATGTAACCGCATATTGTCTTTTTTACAAGGGACCCTCAGGGGGGGGAGACTGGCCCCCCCTGGGATAGTGAAAATTCATAGTTCGGATGGACATGTGGTCATAATCAGATATGACTTACCTGAAAG